GGAGGGGGTGGGGGGGGGGGGGGGGGGGGGGTTTGCTTTTTATTGAACTTCAAAATTACTACGACAGAGTTTCATGAGCGCGATTTTATGGACAGAAATCAAAATGCCTGCAAGAACAGCTAAGGAAAGAGTGAAGCCGAAGACCCAAGACCCAGACAAACAAATTCTTCATCTTCGTTGTTTCAATTCCTGTTTATGCTATGGCATAATCAGGCGCTGCATAAATTTACAATCTTTCTTTTAACTACATCTGTCATCCAATCTTTTGATCATTTATAGTTCAAGATTTCAAGAAACGACAGAGAAACCAAGAATTCTATATTCTTGATCACCGATTCCGATTCTGTCCCTATTGGTTACACCTTTGGTGCTGGAATGTTCAGAATGGATTCCACTAGAGGAGGATCTCCATGGGGCGCAGAAGTCCTTTCTGGGGATGGCACAATAGAGCCTAGTGAAACAGAGCTAGCTTTTGTGGAGCACCAGGGAAAATACATGGCTAAGGTAGTCAAAAGATTTGCCTGGCTCTTTTCATTTGCGTCTGGTGAGAACCACAACTAGCGCTGCTAAAACCAACATTCATTTACATCTCCGACGACCGTGTTTATATGTTGATCTTTTGTATGTTTCTCTCTCGTGTCATTAGATATCACGTGTCTACAGGTTTTAGATAGCTTAGGAGATTATTCTTGTTAGCTTAACATTACTGCATGCCCATTTTTCGTTCCCAGCTTCTGGCTCCCTGTTTCTGTGGTGTGTTACTTGTATAAGGTTTGAAATGTCCATTTGATTATATCGGTTTTTAGCCGGATGAACCATTTGATTGAGCTACCATATTGATAAAAAATTTGCGAGGTTGTGTTCTTTGACATACTTTTTGCTTATGACTTTTCTGTGTTTTCTATTATAAGCATGTTGCCTGGGTTTTGCAAAGTGAAAGACTTGCTGTTTACCCTGTACATGAAGCCTTAATCATGTTTGATATCCAAAATCATTAGCCACCGTGAGCAGATAAAAAGAGCAGTTCGAAACGAGTTACCATCACTGGGCAGTGCTCTAATAAAACAGTAGAAGTCTTAAACAGCTTTATGCCCTAATCAGAAGTCGCTCTGTTTTACCAAAATCAACAATGGGTTACTTGTGTATTGATTCAAAATGCGAAATTCTTAAGAGTGCCTTATAGGAAGATCGACAACACTACATTTATTGACACTACCATGTATTCAAAGCACGAGCTAAAATTTCTGCAGCTCTGGTATTTCAGCTATGGTCTTGACAAACACAAGATAGTCTTAAAGAGATATGAATGCATTACTTGTTTTTCAAGACTGAACTATGGAGAAAGTATTATTCCTAGCCAACATCAAGGAAATATATACATGACTAGATTCTCTAGTTCAGTGCTGCAGAATTGATTCATATTGAGAAATGGGGTAGTAATACTCCAGGCAGTATCAGACACATCACAACAATACACTGTCATACACACATCTTCACATTGGCCTTGCAATATTTGAAGAATTAGCATCAATACACACGGGGAGAGAGATGTGACCAAAGTTGCAATCTCCTGAACTACATGCACTGAGCTTGATGCTTCCCATCGACAAGGGCAGCAACTAGATACAGCGAGGGAAGAAGGTTTGTCCCATATATCCACCGGCCATTGCCCTTCTCACATTGGATTCAAACAATTGTGGGTTATCTCTTAAGACAGCTGCGGCATCTTGATTGAGGGGATCCTCATGATTAGGTTCCTGCATGCACAAGTACAAACATCAACTAAATTGGACCTACAAAATAGCAAGAACTTAATCATGGAAGAAAAGCAATACCGTGAAAAGATGAAAGAGTCCATAGATTATTGTATTAATATTCAGAACAGGTTTCCAGTCTTCTCGTAAAATATTGAGGCAAACATTTCCTTCCAGGTCTATATTAGGATGATAAACCTGCACCGCATCCCAATCAAAGCTACGTTAATGGCAAAAGGCTTTTGTTGAGTATGGAAAACAGAACATGCTTAACTACCTTTGTCTTGCACTTGACTTTTGGTGCTTCATGAGGGTAGATGGATGAAATTTGGAATGAGAACACAAATGTGCCACCTCTGTGACAGGAAAAGAAGTGCATCTGGTTAAGTAATTAAAACATATAACCCAGGAAACATGGCATAAAATTCCTTACAAAAAACAAAACAAAACAAAAGATGATTATTGGGAAGGAAATGCAAGTTTTAGGATCCTGAATGCCTTGCACCCAATTTTTTGATCAAAGTAAAGATGGAATTGAGCATTGCCTAAGAAATTACTTACCGATAATATCCTTCATCAGGACGAATGGTAACCTCAAAGTTCATCAAGTCATCCTTGCCATTCGGGAAAGCCATTGTACAAGTTTTATGCAAGTTCAGTTCACTGATATCTAAAAGAGAAACACCCTAAAGTAAGTTTATGAAAAATCCAAAACCAGTGCATCATAACAAGAAACTTAAAACAGAAACGGAGTTCTTAATGAAAATAACAACCAGGTAGCTGATCCTAGTTTCAGCAATGGAATTCATGAAGGATAACCCATTAACCAACCATAAAAGGCTAAAGATCAAAACTTTCTCTTCTACCCAGTTAAAACAATTGAAAGCATCTGAAAGTTCGTCAAAGTATAAATCTTGACAAAGCAAGCAAGACCCATATAACAAAAATAATGCTTTTCGAGCAGGATTGAATAAAAGTAATCATAATTAGCAATTAAAAGATAGTGATGAAGATGCATAGGTAGAACAACCTTTATGAAGACGTAATTCTCCTGCACTTTGTTTCTTGATAGGTGACTTTCCATTGGCGTTTTCAGCAAGTTCCCTTTGTTTCTCCTTCACTTTAAACAGCTTGATCATTTCTCCTTCACGATAAGAAGGGAAAACAGGGGTCAGGACATCTCAGTAATTAATAATATTAAAGAAAACCGTAAGCAAAACCCACCTGTGTGTCGCAAAGAGTTCGATAAAGCTCCAATCAAGAAATTAAACAGCAGGAGTTGATCAAAATGTTTGCCAAATACACGAAGATTAGGATGATGGGTTACAAGAAAGAAAGAAAGCTTAGCTGCTTTTCTTGGAACAAATGAGAGAGCGAAGGAGCTATGAAGAACGAAGGAACCTGAAAGCGTGTTAAGGGTGCTCGTTGTTTACGAAGGAGAAGGGGGAACGAGCTTTCTCTCTCTATGTCTATCGTGTCGGCGTCAATTATCGTCATCCACTTGCAGCGTAGTTGTAATACATTTATCGTCTGGGTGCGCTTGATTTTGCCATTAAAAAATGTATTTTTAAATTATTTTTTATAATTTTAAATAATATATTAATATACAAAAATATTTTAATAAATTCTTTAAAAAATACATTTTAAAAAACAACCACTGCAATTTCAAACATTTTTTCCGAATGAACAACCATGATAGTGATACTTCACTCTCTGTGTTTTATTTCTCTCTCAATTATTGGAAACCTAGAAAAAATTACTCAAAATAATAAACAGTAGCACTTTTTTTCCGCTATCTTGTAGACATTTCTTTCTTGAATTGGATTAAACCATTAAGATTTATTTACTGCATAGTTATTAAATTTGTCCCGTCTGAATTTATAAAAACAAAAAACAAAAAACTCAAAATTAAGTCCAATTAAAATTTAATTTGATTTTAAATAATAAAACGACATCATTTTAATTTTTAAAAATTAAATTGAAAATAAATTATTTTAAGCTATTCGAAATTAACTCATTTGTTTTTCGTGGATGATGTCCTGATTTTTGCTAGAGCTAGCGCTGGCGAGATGCGTTTGATGATTGATGTGCTTTCCAGTTTCTGCAATGCCTTAGGGTTAGGAGAGCTGAAGTTAGAGCTGTCCCAACTTTCTACAGTTAAATTTGCCAGCAACCTGGTGAAATATTTGGGTTTCCCCTTAACCGAACATACTTCAATTTTATTATTGATCGCATCTAGGCTCGACTTGCTGCGTGGAAAGGAAAGATGTTAAATAAAGCTGGTAAAGGTTACTTTGGCCAGGGCTTGTATTGCTTCCATTCATATTTACACCATGCAAATCTTTTGGCTCCCTCGAGCAGTTTGCGAGGGTATAGATAAGATTGTGCGGGATTTTACTTGGGGTCGTTCGGATGGGGAGAGAGGACTTCACCTTGTAAACTGGATTACTATTTCCAGACCGAGACAATTTGGAGGGCTAGGCCCGAGAGATGCGAGATTGGTTAAGATCTCTCTCTTGTGGGAAAATGCCTGGCAATTATTCAGTGGCAGGAAAACATTTTGGGTGCGCTAAATGCATCAAAAGTATCTCGGCAATAGAAATTTATTTCAGGCTTCGGCGTCTACTGCCTCTTCATAGACGTGGAGGTCAATATTTAAAGCTTTTCATCGTCTTCGAGAGGGCTTCGTGTTCGGAGTTGGGAAGGGTAATATCTCGCTTTGGAACTATCCTTGGCCGGAGAAAGGTACTCTCGGCGCTTGAGTGGAGTTTGTTAATACAGTGGACATGGATCTCCAAGTGAGCAATGTGTGGACTAATGGGGTGGGGGATTTGAGCATGCTAGCCACACAAATCCCAGACTGGATGAAATTTGAAATCTGCAGACAAATGTTAAATGGATCTGGGCATGGAATGTCAAGGCTCCGGAGAGGATAAGGATGCTGGTGTGGCACATAATGTGTGCTTGTCTGCCTACCAATTTAAAATCCAGAATCTAATAATTGGAAAAATTTATGATATTAGGTTATATCTATTGACATTATCACTTGTTCATTACAATTCTCGTAAATAAAGAAATCTACTCCTTGTATAATCCACCATTATTTCTCCTTTAGAAAATTACCAACATTTTTTCATAAATTACCAAACCCTTACATTTCCACTATCAAGCAGCTCCGGCCCCGACGGGTAAACGAAAAAACCTCTCAAAACTCCAAAGATTTAACAAATCCCCGGCCTCTCACTCTCCCACTCTAAAGTCTAAACCCCATCACCTCCAAAATGGCCATAAACCTTCTCCTACGCCTAACTATCCTCCCCTTCTTCACCACGTCCTCCTCCCCCGACTCTCCAACCAACCGCCGCATTCTCATCTTACTCGACGACTTCGCACTCAAGTTTCAACTCCCTCCAATCCCGCAACAACTTTAACCTTGACTTCAGACTCGTTGACGATCCCACACTCTCACTCCAACGCTAAGGCCAATATAGGAAGCTCTAGTCCTCTTTTGCCCCTCTCGACCTCCAGTCACACTGTGATCCCCTCTAGTTTTCCGGTTAGGTTTTGGAGGATCGATTGATATCGCCGCGATTGCTAATTTTATTGATTACGGTCATGATTTGATTATCGGAGCGGATGCTAACCTGTCTGATTTAATTCGCGAAATAGCCACTGAGATTTATGTTAATTAATTAATTGTGAGTATTTTTTATCATTTGTTTAGTGTTAAACGTAGTAGTGTAATTTAGTGTAATTGGTGTTGGATCCAGCAGCTATGGTTATAGATCATATTAGCTATGCGGTGTCGGATACTGAAGGAGATCATACATTGATTGCTTGTGATGGTTTTATTAATTTTCAGGTGATTTTGGGAAGTGACAATATTGAAATAAAATACAGAAGTTTTGATGTTGATGCTCGTGTTGCTATGATAGTGATGGTTTTGTTTTAATTTCCTATCAGTAGTTATCAGCACTTTGTTCCTTCTTTCAAACAACGAAAACATTAGCTGTCAGTTCCAAGAGACAAGCAGCATGATCTACATTAGACTACTTAGGATGAAGTATCGTAACATTAAACATACCATACAGGTCTCAGTGTTTACAAGTGCGAGGAGCATGCCTTAAGTTGCTAGATTCGCTTACAAGTATGTACATACATCCACATACAAACATTGTAACTTAGATTGTTTGATACCGCAGAAACAAATCTAAAGTTTCGTGGTGTCACTGAAGAAGCTGAGCCCTTGCATTCTCTAATCCTGCATTTGCAGCATATACCATTGAATCCATCTCGTCTTCAAGTTTCCAAGCTTCCATTTTCTCACATGCAGAATCCAAGCTTCTCTCTGATTCTGACTTGAGGTTAGAAATTTCAGTAACACAAGACTTGCACCTCAAAGTCTCAGCCTCACAGAAAGACAATTGTTTCTCCAGTTCAAGAAGCATGTTTTTGACATGTGAAACTTCTACGCGAAGTGATTGGAGGTGGTTTTCAGAAGCTTCATAAGCAGATACTGCCTCCACATGGCGCTGAGAGATGTTGTCAAACTGGGTTTTCTTATCATTGTAATGGTCAAGGAATTCTTCTCGAGAAAAGTCTCCGCCCATGGACTCCTCAATTCCAGCCAGTTTTGATTTGCATTGAATGTACTCCCTCACAGCCTTGGAAAATGATGCATAGTCAATTGAGAGATGGCGCAAAGTATCAAAAGTGTTCTCTGCCACCTTCAACATTGTTTCATGCTGAGTCCGATCCATAGACTGCAGAATGTCGAGCAAACCTTGCCCAAAAGTTTTCAAGGCTAACTTTGATGGATCACTGTTCTCCACCACAGTTTTCGTCCCTGAAGGCTTCTGAAAAATACCATTTGGACGCTCAGCATCCTCTCTAGGAGATTGTAGAAATGGACCTTGCTGTATATCACTTTCATCATCATTTGATGAACTGCCTGCTAAGAGAGCCAGGCCTTCAATATCACCCACATCTTCTATAACAGGATCAAAAGGAGAAGTGCCTGTTACAGAACAGGGGTGTTAGAACTGAAGATTTGAGGAAGGAAAACAGCTGAACAAATGAATGGACATTATTTACGGCAAAAGATGGGTTCACCATGGGGCTCTTTTAGGAACCAATAAGTGAGGTCAAAGCAACCCTACCCAATCAAACACGGACATGAATTTGTAAAAACTGATAAACATCATCAGTCAACCACCAAAATGAAAAATGAACTCAATGTTGTGAAATGATAGCGGGGATCATGCAAATTATCAAAACAAACTGAATGGAGAAAACTAATAACTGTGTTTTAACTTTGACCATCTCGCCCAAAGACCAAGCGTTTACAGCTACAATCAATTATTGGAAAGCATTAGAAAAACAGCTTTATTCTCCAGAGGTGATTCCCGGCTGTGGCCAGGAACTTTCTTAGCTTTTCTTGAGAAAATTTAGAGTGGGACTGCTGTTATAAAGTCAGTTTCATGTTCTTGTCTTTGAAAATACGACATAGCAAGTTCTTTAAATCTAAATTGTTGATACAGATCAACAGTAAGGCTTGTGTTTAATATTCACATCAAATATGAAACAACGACCCACTATTAATGAGTAAAAGTCTCAGCGGTTGATTAAAATGTGATGTGGACTTTACGAACACGATAGAGCATGATCTGGAGAACATGGAAGCGTCGAGTCCAATGAGATCAACGAAGAACAGCACCAGCCCGTCACAATGATTATGAACAGATGGCATATTATTGAGGAAAAAAATGAAGACCCGGAACTCAAAACAGGTTAGAAAATTATTGAAAAGGAAAATGAAGCATAATTTTTAAAATATGATTTTCAACATTATTATTTCAAAACAATGTAAAAATATATAAAAAATTAAAAATTTTAAAAATATAATCTTGCACCGTATTTCCAAACACAACATACATCCTACTATTTTAGACCCCTTAATACCTCCACCAGGATTAAGTTTTTTTGTTATAAAAAACAATTAATTCGGTAGTGCATCTTTTATATGATATATTTAAAAAATCAATTTGTCTAAAAATTGATTTTAAAAATTAAAATTCAATAAATCAGTAGAAAAAACAAACCCTCTTGATAGCTAAAAGACAAAATATCACTACCTCCAAACGATTTCCTATATTATACATGGGAGATGCAACCCAAGCCCCGTACATTAATTAAAGTGTTGATTTTCTAAATAGTTTCTTGTAAAAAGCACTAAATAAATATCATTAAAAAACATAAATTTATTTATTTTTATTGGACAGAATGCAAGTTTTCATATTGTATTTTTAAAAAAAATTAACAAAGAAATCATGAAGATAAACAGCAACTAAATACTTTTTAAATTTATTTTTCTTCTCTATAAATAATTTTTCTTAATCATGCTTTTTTTCGCGCCAGGGTAAAACTTCCATGCTTTCCTCCTTTCCTTACGTGGCAGGCTTGAATAAAGCCACGTAAAGGCTAACTTTGAATGGAAAAGAAATAATTTCTGGAAAAGCCAGGTTTGTTGTCCTTTTACCTTGAGTTAACTTTCTGCGCTCTTTCTTCTTGCCTTGGTAACCGTGGTTTGCAGGGATGCCTGACTTTTTTTCTTTTTTCATTTTTTTTCAATTATATTCAAGTAATACAAAGGTATTTAAAATATTATTATAACAAAGACTACTAAAGCTGGAGCATGTGGGTCCTCGCAAAACACTTTCCACGTTGAGTTTTTTGTTTTTACTTTAAAAATAGGTTCTTTTTCTTTTTCTTTTTTTAATTTTATTATGATTTTACAAAAAGTTAATTCTTCATATTAAAATAGTTGGAAGGTTAACTTTGTAATTTTCTTTTTTTCTCTTTTGAGCTAGTGAGATTTGCTGGTTTGCTAAATAACTAGGTAACTCTCATTTGTTAGTTTAGTGAGGTGTTTTTTACTTTTAATTGAATTTATTTTTTTTATAGTTTTTTCTTGTTAAATTAAAAAATAATAATTTTATAAAAAAATCATGTTATTAAAATTTATAAAATAATAAAAATTAAAGGGTATAAAATAATTGTTATTCACTCATACCTGTTGCATCATGATCACAACCTTACTTTTAAATTTTTATTGTGATTTTAAAAAAATAAATTTGTCAATTTTAACTTTTAAGACATTGATCAAATTGAAAAATACAATATCATCCATCTATAATGAATAATAAAATTAAAAATTAATAAAACTTTTACAAGAAAATAAGAGAAAAAAATAAAAATCACAAAAATGAGAACTAGATTGACATATATATATATATATAAACCATGATGGAATGATTAAATTGAAAATAGATAAAAAATTTATAAAATGATAAATAATAAAAATTATAAATCAAAAGAATAAAGAATGAAGTTGAAATATCAACAGCAAAAACAATTAAAAAATAAATAACAGATATCAAATATAATAGATAAAAAAGTTAAATAATGATGAAATTAAAAAAAATATAATTCACAAATTATTTCAGATAAAATAAATAATAATAAAAATAAATAAAGACTAGATCTAATAGGCAAAAAATTTCAATTAAAAATAATAAGAGAAAAGCTAATAATAATTATAAGAAGAAGGGCTAAAGTTGATACAATAATCAAATTAAATCAAATTCTAAGTGATGAAACTAAAAAAAAAAACAATTCACAACAAAATATATAGCAATAATCAAATTTTATATAATCAGTAGATAATATGATATTTCTAATTTTTTTATAATTTTTGAATGGTATTTTCCACCCAGAATAAAATAAAATAATTTCTAAATTTTATAAATTTTTTTATAATTTAAATTTTATTTAAAAACAATATTGGATTTTTTTTAAACAATATATACAATATTTTTGCAACTGTATGTTTTTTTATTGATTTTTATTAAATAAAAAATTATTTAAAAATATATGAAGGCAGGTTAGGAATTTTAAAATTTTACCCTCCGAAACGAGTTCAATGACAATGTAATATTTTTTTTATGTTGATTTTTTTTTTGTTTGACAAGGGATGCAGTGAATAAGTATAACATGGTTGTTTTTTAATTAATCTTTGTATTGTTTTGTTGTTGAATAACAAAAAAAAGAATTGCTATTGAATTCATAATCTAGATAACTAGGTTTGGTAAGCTGATGATGCAGGTTAATTTAATATAATATTATCTATATTTTAAAAAGTTTCATAGTTCTTGCACCTTGAGTTTTTTTTTTCATTTTAATTATTTTTTATGTTAAAAAAATATAATCTAATGAACATAGTTTGATATAATCTGCTTGAAGGACTGCAATAGGCATTGCAAATTATTCATAAACCTAGATTTCAAACATGAAAGAATTGCAAAATCCATTGATATCAAACAGGATCCAAAATTAGTGATAACAGGCAAGAACATCTGATGCTCACTTGTGGAAAATTTTATAGTTTCACGGGGAAAAATTTAAAGAAATAGAAAACATTATTACTAATTCTATAATTCTCTACAAAATTGGAAAACATTGAATTATTGTTTTTAAAATTCTTTAATAATCTTGTTTGATTCACCCGATTTAATTATGTTCATCTATTTTATTTTTCTAAATAAATCAAGCAAGACCTTTATCTCCATTAAAAAAAAAACTAGAGTAAAAGACATGTTTTCTTAATTTGCTATACATAATATTTTTAGAAAAAAATAAAAAACAAAATAAAAACTAGAAAACTATTTTCTGAAACAACACTCTCTAAGAGCGCGGTTTAACTTCGACCCCCTCCAAAATTCAGTTCCATTGCTCATATGAAATTTGCCATGCGACGAAAATAAGGGGCGTAGAAATAGAGAGAGGCAAAGCCCCATACTGTCGTGCCCGTCAATGTGGTATTCCCACACTCCCGTAGAAATTGAAAAGGCAAGCAACATAGATGGTGGATAGTATTGTTTGGTGGGGGGTAAGCAAGAGAGAGCTATGAGTTTTTTATTTTATTTTAAAAGTGATTTGAAAAAATTGTTTTTTTATTTTTTATTTGTTTTAAATTAATTTTTTTATATTTTGAAAAAATAAAATTTTAAAAAATAAAAAAATATTATTACTATATATTTTCAAATAAAAATTACTTTAAAAAATTAATATTTTCACACCGATACATCTCGAAACCAGCTCAGTACTCCTCAAATCAACCACAACAGCGAAAGGCCGAAGAGGTATAGTTTGCTTTAGCTGATCAAATTGAGGTCAGGCCGAAAAATGAAAACGTTTCACAAATTTCCAAATTCTTGAAAAACAAATATCTAATTTAGTTTAGACTTTTTGATACCAATTTAATTTTAATTAAGTTTCAAATTGTTTTATGTTTTTCTTTATTTTTATTCCAAATTAACTGTACAAAAAAAAGTGGGTAATTTTTAATTTTGTAACTTATTAACATTCGTGGCATCATTTACATATTTTAATAAAAAAAATTATATTTGATCAAATATTCTAAAGCTTGGAGATTGAAAAATCTATTAAATAATTTGTATATAGAAAATGTTCTTAAACTTAAAATTTATAAAAATTCATATTACTATGTATTTAATTTTTATCAAATAAATAAAAATAATAAGATTTAAACTCATGATCATTTAACCACCACATCAAAGTTATGATATCATATTAAATAATTATTCTAACTTAAAAATTTAAATTATTATATAAAATATTAAAATATTATTTATATCATTCTCTCAAAAAAAAAAAAAAAACCCTGGTTTTGGAAAATTTCCTCACAAGCCGTAACATATTAAATTTGTTAAGCACAAACTTTTTGAAAAGAAAATACATCCAATTCGATAATAAGGACATGATTATTTTTCCCATCACATAATCGGGTTGGTCAGACCCAAAACAACACAGAAAAAAAGAAAAGCAGTTTGATCAGGAAAAAAACAGTACATATATATTAACCAAGCATGAGGCGCGAGTTACAGTGTTCAGCTGCATTTTATTTGCAACTGAAAGACCCCGCCATGTTGCACTTCTCCAGAAGCTGCAGTGCGAAGTTGGGATCTATATTATTGTCAGATAGCACTTTTGTATGCCTTGCAGCAGAAATTTGCAAAGAGAACTCCGGTTCTTGGCAAGGAATCTCAGGCTTGGGTATGAGTGGGGGGGACTTCAAGTGCTGTCCCTGACACAAGATCCCAAGACTCGGAGTCCTGCATGACCAGGTCCCTCACAAGGACCTCATCTTTTCTGATAGCTGGATCCATGGATGAAATAGGATAATTATCATCACTCTCCACCATTGTTGACTCCAACTCAGCACCAGAACTCCTATTGTCTTCCGTGCACAGTTCATTATTTACATTAAACAAGGACCGACGGGCAGGGTATCCCTTGCTTTCATCTCCAGGCATATTCTGCATGATATTCCCTTCAGAACCTGCCCACTGGAAAAATTTACAAGCTCCATGGTTCTGTATCAAAATCAAACCACTTTACTTAGATCAAGACAAGCATTACAAACACAGGCAAAAGTATAGAGAAACACACAAGTAAAAACTAATAACTGTGTTTTAACTTTGACCATCTCGCCCAAAGACCAAGCGTTTACAGCTACAATCAATTATTGGAAAGCATTAGAAAAACAGCTTTATTCTCCAGAGGTGATTCCCGGCTGTGGCCAGGAACTTTCTTAGCTTTTCTTGAGAAAATTTAGAGTGGGACTGCTGTTATAAAGTCAGTTTCATGTTCTTGTCTTTGAAAATACGACATAGCAAGTTCTTTAAATCTAAATTGTTGAATAACTACCCGCTATTAATGAGTAAAAATCTCAACGGTTGACTAAAATGTGATGTGGACTTTACGAACACGATAGAGCATGATCTGGAGAACATGGAAGCGTCGAGTCCAATGAGATCAACGAAGAACAGCACCAGCCCGTCACAATGATTATGAACAGATGGCATATTATTGAGTAAAAAAATGAACACCCAGAACTCAAAACAGGTTAGAAAATTGTTGAAGAGGAAAGCGAAGCAAAAGTCAAAGAGCAAACCTTAATCCGGCAAGCAAAATACCGTCGTCTCTGTCTGGACCACTTGATACGATATTTAAACTGCATGACCCGGCACCACATGGACACATAGGAGGTTTAAATCTAGCAGCAATGTCGTCACTCCATTTGAAGAATCCGCAACTACCCTAAAAATTAACAACAAAAGAGCAATGCAGAAGAAATAAGGGAAAGGTGGGACATGAGTTGTAGACTGGACAAGGGCACTGTACTAACCGATGTTCTATGATCAACAGGGCAAGCATAGAACTTTCTGCCAGGATTTTTAACGGTGTTCGAAGTTAAAACTTTACAAGTGCCCCGACCACAAGGGCATCGAACCACTGGAAGATCAGGAACCTGCACTGAAGGGGAGGAGGATGATCCAGGGCTTAAGGCCAGTGATTTTGGGGGGGTTTTGCTGGAGCAATCTTTGGACCAGTGGCCAAGCCATTTGCACATAAAGCATTGATCATGTTCTTTAGGGTTCCTTTGAGGAGATGGGGTAGCAGTGGGTGATGCTTGTGGTGGAGTTGAGGAAAATGGATACCTTTGTGATATGAATTTCAAGTTTGATAGGGTAGTTCAATTAATTAAAATTTTTTTTTATTAGTTTTTTTTATATTGGTTTTTTTTCTTTGTTTTATTCTTTTAATTAATTTATTCAAGTATCACACTTTTGTGATATAACTTTGCAGCCAAACCCATATCCAAAATTATTGCAGCCAGATTTATTTAAACTTGAGTTTTTTAAGTTTAATATTATTATAAATATTACTTTTAGATTCGGCGTTGCAGTCAAATTTAAGACTCCTCGATATAACTTTGTAAAAAAACCTAATATTTTTAAATCTTAGCTTTTTTTAATATTTTTTATTTATAAAAATTGACCCGCAGCATCACGCGGGTCATTTAACTAGTGCATTGTTATATTGAGTTATTTTGAGTTTTGGAAGTATTATTGAAAAAATTAAAAAAAAAAAAGTATTTTGTATTTGTTTTAATTTATTATTATTTTGATGTTTTGATATTAAATATAATTTTTAAAAAATAAAAATATATTCTTTTAATATATTTATGAGTAAAACATAATTTAAAAAATAATTATAACCACATTCTCAAACACGGTTATTGTCTAGAGAGAGATATATGAATGTGCTCTCCCATTCAAATCTCTTTTGATTGGCTGAAAAGAATATTTTTATAAAAATATTTTTTAAGAATATAAATTTTTTTAAAAATATCATTTTTAATATTAAGTAATATCATAAAAAATAAGTTGAAAAATATTTTTTAGCATTTTACTGTGTCATAAAAATAAGTTAAAAAATAAATTGTTAATATTTTTCTAAAGCTTATTAAAATAATAAGAAACAAATCTCATAAATTAAAAAGTCATGAGAATAAAATTGAAAAAAAATCTAATTTTATAAATTATCTCAAGAAAAATAAATAATAATTAAAATAATAGAGGTTAAACATGTTGAAATTAAGAAAATATAATTTTATAAATTATTTCATATAAAATAAGTAACAATAAAAAAAAGAACCAAATTTAATAAATAAAAATTTTTAATTGAAAAATAATAAGAAAAAAATAAATAGCAATCATGAAAATAAGGACCAGAGTTGATATAATTAATAATCAAATTAAATCAAATTCTAAGACATGAAATTAAAAAAAAAAACACTTCAAAAAAAATATATAGCAAGGACTAAATTTGATATAATCATCAAATAAAATGATATTTTTAAATTTTTTACAATTTCTGAAATGTATTTTCCATAAAAAAAAAAAACACTTTTCTAAAAACAAGTTAATTTTTTTTTTAATTATAAAATATTTTATGTTAATCAACTTTTCTAATATTAAACAAATACGAGAAAATATTTTTTTAGTTTTAAAAACTCAGTTTATCTATGTAAAATATATATAAAAAAAAAATTATAAATGAACCAAAAAAACTACTCTAAAAATTAAACACATAAAAAAATCAATATTTTTAAAAGAGGCCTCTGATAAAAATAAAAGAGAGGTTTGTCTTTTAAATATGTTCTGTGATCCATATGAAACTGTAACTATGTTCATTAAAACAGTGTGAAGATGGATGTGGACACTAGAAAACCTGACTAAAAAATGACTACAAGAAAGGATTAACTTACTGAAGTGAGGTTATAGGAAGGTTGTGGAATTCTGTTGCTTTTTGCAGAATTGAGGTGGTTTTTTCTGAACTAGAAGAAAAACATGGCTTACTAATTTTTATTTATTTTTGTTGTTTTATGTGATTATCTGTCAAGGGCAGTAATGACAATGTAGTTATTGGTGTCTATTAAAACTACAATTTGGGACTTCTTACTTGGTTTTCGGCACATGCGTCTGAACTTCAAATGAATGGTATTATCATGCTGAACAAATCTTGCAGATGTTATTGACAATAAGTTAATTTTATTTTTTGATACCAGACATGTGAAATCCGGACATGAGCAGTACTTGACTGAACTCAACAAAAGGATTTTCCATGATAGAAGTCATCTTAAGGTGAGGATGTTTTCATTTGTATTTCATGAACTCATTCTGAACACTAGGAAATGAAAATTGCTATTTTCTTGTTGGTTACTTGTGATCACCTAATGTCCTTATTAATGCATTTATTTAAGATGGTTCATGATTTACAGGCTGTAGATGTAAGACACCACAAAGTTGGGGAAGCTGATGAACCTGCAATTTACAGGATCAAAGATGCATTGGTAATATTTGTCTCTTGTTGATTTTCTCTTTTTTTGTAGAACTGGAGAAATAAATTGTGGATAAGCTTTGGTTGCAGGAATACTCTGTTGAAATATATGTGTGCTCTGGAGCAATCTGTGAACCATATGTGGCAGATGATGTTCAATTGCAGTTTTACATGATGACCTTTGAAAACCTTGTCAACAGATACAGAAGTAAGCCAGTTGATTATTGAGCGTGTATATGCATGTGAATTTTGGTTTCTTCCATTGTTGAGGTTTTTGCTTTGTAATTATATGCACTGCAGGGTTTGTATTTCACATCTTTCAAGGTTCCAGATGTGTATGGGGTTTACCAGTTCAAGATGGAGTACCAAAGACTTGGTTGTACAAGCTTATCCCTATTAAAGCAGGTAATTAATTTTCTTCTCGTACCTTCATGGTTAGCATTTTTTATGACACCTTTGGTTTGGAACCCCTTTTAACCATTAATGTGAACTTTTTAATTTTAATTCCCTTAGCAATTCAGAGGGAAACAATAACTCTAATGCTTTATTGTAAGGCGCAAAATCCACCTGCATGGATTTAACTACGCAATCAATGAACATTTATGGACAGTGCCAAAAGTTCAGGTGATAAGTTACAAGTGCATGCATATAATGTTATGGGAGAGTCCATAATAATAACTGATTTTTAAAGTTAGCATTTTAAATTACAGATTCTTCAACAAGGAATTTCCAATTGATTGGACTAAAGGCTTCTGCGGTGGTGTGTGATGCCTTTTTCATAATCATCTGGTCTTGTTCATGTGAAACCTGCATGCCTTCTTTGATCTCTGCTGTGTTTTTTTACTTTCATTGCATAATAGGTGGTTTCTTGGGATCTTGTTAAGTTATAACAAGGCAGGACGAACGAAGTAAAGTGTAACTTTGCTTACGCTTTTCTTCATGCATCTTTTTCATATGTTGCCTAGCTACCGGTTGAAGTTATAGTTAAAAGGGGGAAAATAAATGGTGCACTAGCTTGAAATCTTGCCAGCTTAATCAAATTCATTACAAACCTCTTAAGTTCAACAATACTGACAATTTGTATTTCATTTATATTCAGTATTATATTTTGTTGAGTATGGAATAAGTAGTGTCTTTTTCTGCTATAGCTGCTATTGTTGATGCCGTGGGTTTTTGAAAATTGAATTGCAGATTCCAGTCCGGCCCTTTAGACATAATGAATATGAGAAATTTATACCAGCAGCTTACCCCTACTATGGAGCTGCATTTTCTATGGTATTGCTCCTCTCTAGACCACTCTTAGCCATTTTCATTTTTAAAACCCTGCCATCAAAGTCATTTTATCTATTACATCACTGGAGTTTAGGTTATAGACCCCTTCAGGTCGTCTGCCAGTACTTGTCTTTTTAGAATCTGGGATATTAGTCTTTGAACTTCTCATTAACCATTCAGCTTGTATCCTTAACCACACATAGCTCCTTCTTGGTTGGGCAATGGAAGTTGATGAGCATTATGGTATTCGCCCCTGGCTTGGTTTAACGTGGACTGGGCCTAAGCTGGATCTTTATTCAATAATTCTCTTCAGACTTGCTTATTGATTTGACCAAGAATAGCTCTTTATCAAACCTAGTTAAGCTTGTTCTTAATATAGAATTTATAATTTCCTCCATGGAAAGATTTCTGTTGCTGTGCTGGTGTCCATGCTTGAACCCTAGTTGCTAAGGTTTGGAACCACAATACCCAGGGACCATTGGTTTCCTCCATACAAAGAGGTATAGGCATCATATTGAAAATGCAACCTGTCTTGCTTGGAGGGAGCAAGGGATTATTTCTGCATTAGTTTAAAAGATCCTGGGTCTGCTGGGCTCCAAAATATACATTCTTGTTAATATTTATGTTGTTGCTTGACTTTTTAGCTTCTTGTGATTTAAACAAGTTGAATGAAGTCAATTAACTAGTTTACAAGCCAAACTTTGAGTTGTTCGTGTGTTTTTTTTTTATTGCTTATTAGACCGGTTATCTTCTTGAGAATGCTATATGACTTCCTGGGGATTGGAGTGTCTTATGTCAGGGTTTTTCAACTAGCAATAATCTATGCGTGTAAATCACTGATACCTGCTTCTATCAACTGCACAATTATGCTAAATCCTGTCACAAACCAGAAACATTAGTTGTGTTTTCTGGGGTTGCTGCCCGAACTGGAGCTTCTTTTTCTTGTATGAAAGGTTTTGAAACTCTCTTTCAGCTTTGTGGTTCCATTTTACTGTCTTTTTTATGCCTTTTTTATATATGGTATCCAGATTGCAGGATTCTTCATTTTCCCCATAGCCCCCTTGCACAGCAGGTAGCTGAAATAACATTTGATGTTGAAGAAACAGCCTGCGGGCCTTGACAGATAATTACAATCTTGATGGGTCATTGATTAAATGGTCAAAGAATCACTTGGTCTCTCGTGTTATGGGTTCATGGCAGACGACAACTTAATTAGTATACCTCTTAATTCTGAAAAAAATTCTCTGTTTTTCCATTTTTGTTTGTTACAGAATGATTTTCTAATAAAATTTATAAAATAATTGTCTAGTATAGTAAAATTATTAAGTCATGTATTTTTCTACAATATTTTTAATTAAAGTTCATTCCATAATATACTCATAATTGGAAAGGGGTAATTTAAAAAAATATATATACACGAATAAGCAATAGTGATATGGCATATTAATAATTGACGTTTCCATGTCATATAAAATATCAAAAATGACGATCTTTTTAATTAACCTCCATGCCTCTTGAACAATTCATGGAAAGATTTTTCTGAAATCACCTTTCAAAAATTTCAAGATTTCTCATGAACAGTACTATTTTAGAACATTATCTTTATAAGGAGTCAAATTTCTCATGAACAGTACTATTTTAGAACATTATCTTTATAAGGAGTCAAGATTTCTTTTGAACAGTATTATATTAGAACAATATCTTTATAATCTCTTGGATTATCTTTTACTAGAGTACTGTGCAACACGTGACGTCACTCTAATTTGATATCTCACATATTGGACAATTATTGGATCGAATCCAAATAGATTAATATTTGATTTATTTTATAAAACATGTTAATCATGACTCGAATAATAAAAATTATATATCAAATCTGTTTAATTACTTCAAAGTCAAATAAAATTCAAGTTAAGATCCGGCCCATTAACAAACCCTAATCAAGAGCATAACTTCTTATTGTTGAGTCCATTTTTATTTTAATTAAAAGGACAACTTTCTCCATTAACTTTTTTATTACTCATACCTAGAATGCTAGTGCTTTATATAATTATATTTCAAAATTATATATATAGATATTGATTTTTTAAAAACTATGTGTGTCTATATTATCATTCTATTTAACTGTTTTTTAAATTAAAGAATCATTCTCATAAACACTTCTCATATGAATTTAAAGAATCATAAACCACTTAATAGGTAAATAAAATATATTTTTTAGAATATTTTTAATACATCATAGTATTTATTTGCCATTGGTATAATAAAAGATTTAACAACAGATTTACTAGTAATTAAACAATGCTGACAGCACAACAAAACTGAAAAGACCCATCACGAGTTGAGTCTTTCAAGCATCAAATTTTAAAATATTTTAAAAAATAATTTCATCCTTTGTACAGAAAGGAGTGGGGGCCGACTGCCGATAGCATATCGGGGAGTGTCAATAGCTGCTCCCTTCTCCGTTTGTTCTCCTGTTTGCTAGTATATTAATTATATCGCTAATCATACAGGAAACAAATTAAATTTTCATTTCCTTCCATTGACACCGAGATTTAGAATCTCTTAGATTGCCTTCCATCTATGTCGATATTCGATAAGATATACTTAACGGTTTCATTCAACCTATAATAATTAATCAATCCTTTTCCTTCAATTTGCATCGAGATTTGTGAGATATATGTCCATATTCGTTGAAATATGAATCACTCGATCCGCTATATATATATATATAGAAGGGATTCAAGGGCCCTAACTACAAAGATTTAAAGGCTGAGGGAAAGAAATTTTGATTGAGATCGACATGGAGGGTAAGGGTATTCGGGCAAGCATTCTCCTGGTCCTGATGCTGGTGTTGATGATTCTGTGTAATGCGAGAATGGCTGCTTCAGACTGCTTTACTCCTTGTGTTAAAAAATGCAAGCTTCAAATTGATCCAGGAAAATGTATAAGAGGATGTGAAATTAAATGTGGCGATGGTCCAGATGTGAATCTCCAGAATCAAGTGGATTACGGCAAAGAAGCTGCAAAACTAGGTTAATGTCTTGCACAGTCAAGCTGTTTAGAATTTAGCAATAAGGCATGCATCACATCCATGTATCTTCTTCTATAAATGGTTCATGACTTTTTAATCCTATTTTGTGTCTCTAACTTTTTTCCTTTTTTTTTCCCAATGATGAAGGCTTGAGACATTATTACGTGTGATAATTTTTTTCAAAAGGAGAAGAAGGCAGAGATAAAAAAAAAATAAAAAATAAAAAAAGACGAGACTCCTAGCTATCATGCTACAGCCTTTGATTGTATTGCTTCAGACAGCAGCTTAACCCGGTCTCTAAAATCTGACAGCGATTGAGGAAGTCCCTCCCATTAGGGTTATACGCCAACGCCACCAGGAACCACCTGTCATTTATTCATCTCCTTGACAAGGAACGACAAGTCGTCTATAATTTAACAAATAATCACCTTTAAATGAACCTAAAAACAGCTATAACAAAAAGGACAGCATTGCAGGCTGTGCTCTGTATGCTAAACCGGAGTCACGTTGGGCACCCACCACCTTGTTATTTTGAAATGATGTCTAATATTTTTCATGCCCTCCGTGCTTGAGCGGTTTTTTTTTTTTTTCAATAATCCTTTTATTTAACTTTATAAATATTAAAATAAATACTTGAAAAGTAAAATTAACAATTTAAATTCATAGATAAAAAATATATATATTCTGTCAAAATCTTCTGTTTTTATTTATTCATTTATTTGTTATTTGACATAACCATGACTAATTTATCATTAAGATGGTTTTTTCAATACAAATTTAAAGCATTTAATCTAGAAACTTATAGCAATTCAAATGATTTAAATTTAAGAGAAAATATTTTTTTTAAATAAAGCTCTGTTTTCTATATTCATTTTTATTTTTATTTTTATTTTTAACAATGCTTTTTTTATCAAAAACTTTGTTCTTCATATAAAACCTTTGTCAGATCTATAAACAATTTTCAATAAAAACACAAAAACAAGATCAAGATCAAGATCAAGTTTTCAGAACCACAAACCGATTATTCACTTGAAAACACCACCCCAAATACATCCTAGAACCTCAATAAGTCCATTTTTAACTGCAAAACTATTATCAAAACCAAAAAAAAAACTCTTTACCGTCCCCATACTGAAATATTATAAAAATAAAGTGTGATGACTCAATCAAACAAACCTAACACTACAGAGACCAAATATGAAAAAACTTAAAACTTCAAGGACGTGAACAATCCAGCTATTAGACCATTACCTTCCCTCCTGAATGAATGGTTGACCTGAATTTTCCAATCCCAATTTACCATATCCATAATTCGCTGGAACAAAGGACCACACATGGTAGCGGCATTGGCCTCAGTGATAGTCCCAACAATAATTAACCGATTCAAGCTCTAATTCGGTCTTTCAACACCCTTTGCTGCCAAGCTAATTGCAAACCGAGAAAAGCAGCCCAAAAATCACCAGGTTGCCATAAGCCATGTCGTCAGAAACCCTCATTATCCTGCAAAAAACAACCGGGGTTGCCTTCGCCAGCTCCTTCAGTTTGTAACCTTCACCCATTTTAGCCAAGTCAGCACTTTGTTCCTTCTTTCAAACAATGAAAACATTAGCTGTCAGTTCCAAGAGACAAGCAGCATAATCTACATTAGACTACTTAGGATGAAGTATCGCAACATTAAACATACCATACAGGTCTAAGTGTTTACAAGTGCGAGGAGCATGCCTTAAGTTGCTAGGTCTAAGTGTTTACAAGTGCGAGGAGCATGCCTTAAGTTGCTAGGTCTAAGTGTTTACAAGTGCGAGGAGCATGCCTTAAGTTGCTAGGTCTAAGTGTTTACAAGTGCGAGGCGCATGCCTTAAGTTGCTAGATTCGCTTACAAGTATGTACATACATCCACATACAGACATTGTAACTTAGATTGTTTGATACTGCAGAAACAAATCGAAAGTTTCGTGGTGTCACTGAAGAAGCTGAGCCCTTGCATTCTCTAATGCTGCATTTGCGGCATATACCATTGAATCCCTCTCGTCTTCAAGTTTCCAAGCTTCTTCCATTTTCTCACATGCAGCATCCAAGCTTCTCTCTGATTCTGACTTGTGGTTAGAAATTTCAGTAACACAAGACTTGCACCTCAAAGTCTCAGCCTCACAGAAAGACAATTGTTTCTCCAGTTCAAGAAGCATGTTTTTG